CGCCGGGGCACCCGAGAGCCCAGAAACGATCCTTGCGATGATCGAGCTAAAGTAGAACAGTGCGTCATGTAAGACTTCAGCTTCACCAGCCGGCCGCTTCGTCTACCGCGATGACGACGACGTCTCCTCCGTGGAAGCAGCTCAGGAACCCGGAACAAGTGGCTCGGAATCTCCGAAAGAAGCGGGGGCAAAGTTTGTCGGCCCGCAACATCGAATAATTCCATGTCCTGGACCAAAGGTTGGAGGTCTAATAGTGTGCTACGATCATACACCAGCAGAGACTCAGTTCCGTAGATGACACAGGTCAAAAACAGTATAAACATCAGCAGACGTAAGAATGACAGACGAGCAGCCACACACACCGGCGCCATCTTTTCCTTGCACTTTAATCATCATGCTGGTAAAAACTTTGCTCAAATCCTATTGTACACAATCAGATATACCTGATAACAGGGGGCAGAAGACTACACACAAAAATAATCTTGACTTATCGCAAATTATTAATATTTGTTTTTTCTTTTTACACATTTTGTTAAAAGGCCAAATAAAGACTTCAAACCAAGAAAAAGTAATTTTCTGTTTTGTTTTATTCTTGGATCAGGCTTTAAAGGGTTAATATGATATGCATCAATATAATCAGAAGTGGGGAATTTTGAGGGAAATAAATATGTGTGTGGTCGGTTTGTTTGCTGCTCTCTGGTGACTTTCCACCAGTGTATATTTTAAAGGTTGTTTTTCTTTCTCATGGGGCTCTTTCAAGGTATCAGAGAAGGTGTCTTTTTATTTTATCCCCTAATGGCTTGAGGATTGTTTGGTACAAGGGCAGGTTACTCTATGATGGGAGACAGACTTTAGTCCTCATCCCAGACTCAGAGAGGGGTATATAATGCACAATGATTTGTTTTACTTTAGAGCGTCTTGGTACATCATATGAACCACTTGTATGGCCGTGCTGGTTGCTCTCACTTCATCAAGTTTTCCCCTTTAATACATTTCTATTTCTTACTTCCTAAGATGGACACAGACTTTAGAACATCCTTTCCACAACACCTGAATACATTGCACTTTTGTACTTTTTTAATTTTCTGGTTTATTTTCAGGCTTCCAATTAAAGAGTCGGACTAACACCGGTCTATGGACTGCTCGGCCTTCAACAACATCATCCCAGCTCTGCTCCAGGACAGCTCTGTCCCTTCCTATACACTTTAACCATTCCAGGTATGTGTGGGTCTGCACAGTCTGCACAAGTAGTCCTAGATGTTAATGTCCTGTTTTACTGTTGACTGTGAAAGATTATTTAACAGTTTTGACCATCTTGCAAACATGGAAACACATTGCATATTACACACTATTGCACGCAGTTTTCCTGGACCAGTCTTTCCACTGTCAATGGCAATGCTACGATCTGAATGATAACCTGTAAATAGGTGTTCAAATTAGCCCTTTGCAACAATGGCACATGACAGTGCACTTGGACATAAATGTATGTTACAATTACAAATTCTGATTCTTATGTTAAATAATTAACCTCTAGCTCACCATAAGTTTCTCCACAGAGATGTTTGTGTCTCCGGACAGCCTCAGTTGCAGGAATAGCATCTTCATTCCAACTATTCTCTTCCTCACCGTTGCTTGACTCCTGTTTTGGCGCAAACTTCACAAGGCCAGTGATATCAGAGAACTGCTAAATCACTGAATTGTCCCCAGAAATTGTCTTCAGTGCATATTCCAGTGCATTTGATAAGCGGAATTGCTCTAGAAATTATATAAGAAAAAAAACTGTTAGTTACTGGTCAGGTCTGACTGCCTCACTTTTCTGCCACTATCTTTAAATTATTCTGTTGGGTTTTTACCCTTCTGACACCATGAGATGGCAATGAAAATGTCGACATTTGTGTAAAACAGGTACCGGTTACACAAAACTAATTATTGATACATAAAATGGCAATCTTAACATGATTTCAGCACCAGGTCAACACACTAACACACTTTCTCTAATTGTCCAATGATTAACTCTGCTGAAATACAGTTTATAATGTTGCATAATAGATATGGTATTATCCAAGTAAGGTTGCAGAAACAGTAAATTCAAGAGAAAAACCCAGATATCTAACTGCCCAGCAACACTATCCAGCTCCAGTTGGGTCCCAAGGTGTTCCCAGGCTAGAAAGAACACTTCCTCTGAGCAGTGGCTCTACAGTCATGGCCAAAAGTTTTGAGAATTATTCAAATGTTAATATTTACAAAGTCTACTGCTTCAGTTTTTATAACTGCAATTTGCATATACTCCAGAATGTTAAAAAGAGTGTTCAGCATAACGGCAATTAATTGCAAAGTCAATATTTGCCTAGAAAATTAACTTTATCCCCAAAAACACATTTCAACGTCATTGCTGCCAAAATGGCTTCAGGGCGCCCAAGAACGACCAGCAAGCGCCAGGACCGTCTCTTAAAAGTGTTTCAGCTGCGGGATCGGGCCACCAGCAGTACAGAGCTTGCTCAGGAATGGCAGCAGGCAGGTGTGAGTGCATCTGCACGCACTGTGAGGCCGAGACTCCTGGAGCAAGGCCTGGTCTCAAGGTGGGCAGCAAAGAAGCCACTTCTCTCCAGGAAAAACATCAGGGACAGACTGATATTCTGCAAAAGGTACAGGGGGTGGACTGCTGAGGACTGGGGTAAAGTCATTGTGGAGGGGGCGTGGCGCTCAGCTGCAGGGGGGAGAGGTGGAGGAGGCTCAGGTGAGCAGTGCCAGGGGAGAGTGATTAAGCACACCTGGAACCGGTTGGCTAATCACTCTCCCCTCTGTAAAAAGAGTAGCGTGCTGGACCTGGGGAGGACTGGTTTTGAGCAGAGCCGGAGCAGGAGAAGGAGCTGAACGACCAGGTTGAGGAAGCCAAGCAGACTGCCAACAAAGCAGAGAGCCCAAGCCGGGCGTGTGCGTGAGTGGCTGTGCGAGTGTGTGAGAGAGTGTGTGTGCGTGTGGCACACACGCTCTAAAATAAACGGTTATAACCACCACCTTGGTCTCAACAAGACTCTGTCGGGGCACCCACGGTGGCAAGAGTGCCACAATTGGCTCCCAACGTGGCCTCGACGAGAGTTCAGAGGCGGAGATGATGGAATCACAGCAACCCATACTGGCGCTGGCGCAGATGGTGGTGGAGATGGCCGCGATGAGCCGGGATCAGGCGGCCGTGAGCCGGCAGCAGCTGGGGGCTCTGCTGGCTCTGTCGGAGCGGCGGACACGGCTACTGGAGGAGATGGTGGAGAGGGCAGCGACCCCACCAAGGGACCCGGCGATCGCTGGGATCGAGACGCGGAAGATGACGGAGCGGGACGACCCGCAATCGTTCCTCGGGGCCTTCGAGGCTACGGCGTCGGCATGCAGGTGGCCGGAGGAGGAGTGGGCGGTGCGGCTGCTTCCGCTCCTATCGGGCGAAGCCCAGACGGCAGCGCTGGGGCTGCCGGCCCTCTACCGAGGAAAATATCCGGAGGTGAGGAGGGCCGTGCTGGATCGGCTCGGATTCTCGCCGGAGGACCAGCAGCGCCGGTTCCGGGAAGCCCAGCTGGGACCGGAGGGGCGACCTTTTGTTTACGCCCAGCAGCTACGGGACGCGGCGGCCCGCTGGCTGCAGCCCGGCAAGGCGGAGGGGGAACAGCGGCTGGTGGAGACGGTGGTCCAGGAGCAGTTCGTGGCGGGGCTCCCGGCTGCTACATCGGGCTGGGTGCGGTGCCACCGTCCGGCAGATCTGGCGGCGGCTGTCACGCTGGCTGAAGACCACCTGGCGGTTGTTTCGCTACGCCAGACGCCGGGTGGCGAGCCGTCAGCCCCGCCAACACCGGCACCCAGACGAAGGGCGGCACCTGCACCCAGTCCGGGGGCCCCCACAACTGCTCGTCCCCTTCCTGCCCCCCGTTCTCGCTGCTCTGCTCCCCCCCAGGTCCAGGCCCCGGCCGCTATGGGCCCTGCTCCCCACCCACAGGGGGTTCCTCAGGCGGCAGGGCTGGCGTGCTGGAGGTGTGGACGGCCCGGACACTTTCGCCGGGAGTGCCCACTGATGGAGGTGGGCCAGGTGATCCGGGTGGTCGGCCCTCCAGCACCCTCCCCCGGTCCAAGAGGGACGTACAGTGTTCCGGTAAGGATTCAGGGGGGTACACATCAGGCGATGGTGGATTCGGGCTGTACCCAGTCCATGGTTCACCAGAGCCTGGTTCGACCCGGGGCATTGTTGGAGGCAGGGTGTGTGGACATTATGTGTGTGCATGGGGATGTTCACAGATACCCTGTGGTACCAGTGGAAATACGGTACAGGGGGAAAAAGCATAACCTGAAGGCGGCGGTTAGTCCCCGCCTGGCGCACCCCCTGATTCTGGGTACTGATTGGCCAGGGTTTGATAAGCTAGTGGGGCAATGTGTAGGGGTGCGCTCACGGCCGACAGGGACATGGGATATGTGCGCTGTGCTCAGTGGTGACGCGAGGTCGTCCGACGCTGCAGACGGGGAGGGGGAGCTAGCAGTGCCTCCACCGGAGGCTCCGCTAGTTCCCGTGTTTAACTCCATGGAAGATTTTCCACTCGAGCAGTCTCGTGACGATACTCTACGCTGTGCCTTTGACCAAGTGATGAAAATTGATGGTCACATGGTGCACCCTGACACACCGCTAACATATCCCCACTTTTCATTGCGCAGGGACCGGTTGTACCGAGTGAGCCGTGACACTCAGACTAGTGAGGTGATTACCCAGTTGTTGGTACCTAAAAGCCGCCGGGAAATTGTTTTCCAGGCGGCTCATTATAACCCAATGGCTGGCCACATGGGGTATGACAAAACACTAAACCAGATAATGGCCCGATTTTATTGGCCAGGCATTCGGGCAGACGTGCGCCGCTGGTGTGCGGTCTGCCCTGAATGCCAACTGGTTAATCCAGCGGCCATCCCGAGGGCGCCTCTACGGCCCCTTCCTCTGATGGAGGTCCCATTTGAACGGGTCGGGATGGACCTGATCGGGCCATTCCACCGGAGCGCACGCGGATATCGGTTTGTGTTAGTCCTGGTGGATTACGCAACCCGATATCCGGAGGCAGTGCCGCTGCGCACCATCTCTGCAAAGAGTGTGGCGCAGGCACTGTTTCAGGTCATCTCCCGAGTCGGGATCCCGAAAGAGATCCTGACTGACCAAGGCACTCAATTTATGTCACGGACACTGAGAGAGCTGTACGGATTGTTGGACATCAAGTCGATTCGGACCAGTGTGTACCACCCTCAAACTGACGGCCTCGTGGAGTGCCTGAATAAGACTTTGAAGTCCATGATCCATAAGTTTGTGCACGAAGATAACCATAATTGGGACAAATGGCTGAACCCTCTGTTGTTTGCAGTGCGGGAGGTACCCCAGGCCTCCACAGGATTTTCTCCCTTTGAGCTATTGTTTGGCAGGAAACCACGTGGGGTGTTGGACCTGGTTAAAGAAAGCTGGGAGGACGGTCCAAGCCCCAGTAAAAATGAGGTTCAGTACGTCCTGGACCTGAGAGCAAAACTCCACACACTTGGGCGGTTATCACGAGAGAATTTGCTCCAGGCCCAGGAACGTCAACAGCGGCTGTACAACAGAGGATCCAGGTTAAGACAATTCTCACCGGGAGATAAAGTCCTTGTATTGCTCCCAACGTCCAGCTCTAAATTACTCGCCAAGTGGCAAGGGCCCTTTGTGGTCACACGACGAGTAGGTGACGTTGACTATGAGCTTGAGCGATCTGACAGGGGAGGGGCTACACAGATTTATCACCTCAACCTCCTTAAAGCTTGGAGAGAGGCAGAGTCTGTTTCACTGGTGACGGCAATTGCGGAGAGAGATGAGTTGGGGCCTGAGGTACCAAAGTCGGCCAATCCTGCCTCGCTCCATTGTGAGAACCATCTTTCGCCATCCCAGAAAACAGACATAGCCAGGTTGCAACAGCGCTATGCTGATGTGTTCTCCCCCCTGCCAGGACGCACAAGCCTTATTCAACATAAGGTTGAGACTCACCCGGGCGTGTCAGTGCGTTCACGGCCCTATCGGTTGCCTGAGCACAAAAGAAAAGTGGTCCAGGCTGAATTGGAAACAATGTTGGAGTTGGGGGTAATAGAAGAGTCCAACAGTGCCTGGTGCAGCCCCATCGTTCTTGTGGGTAAGAAGGATGGGTCCATCCGGTTCTGTGTGGACTATCGCAAGGTGAACGACGTGTCACGGTTTGATGCCTACCCTATGCCCCGGGTCGACGAACTCCTGGATCGCCTGGGCACGGCTCGTTTTTTCACGACGCTGGATTTGACCAAGGGCTACTGGCAGATTCCCCTATCGCCAGAGTCCAAGGAAAAAACGGCCTTCTCCACTCCGTACGGGTTGTACCAATTCGTCACACTTCCGTTCGGGTTGTTCGGGGCCCCAGCCACGTTTCAGCGCCTCATGGACCGGGTGCTAAGGCCGCATGCTGCATATGCTGCCGCCTACCTGGATGATGTGATCATCCACAGCAACACCTGGGCGGAGCATATGCGGCAGGTGGCTGCGGTGCTCGAGTCCCTGAGGCAGGCGGGGCTCACGGCCAACCCGAAGAAGTGTGCGGTTGGACGGAGGGAGGTACGGTATCTGGGGTACCACTTGGGTGGCGGGCA